GCATTATTCTTCTGCCTCGGTTGGTTTGATGGCCCTGGGTTGTGGGGTCTGGTTGTAGGTATGTGAGGACAGGCTTTAAACTGTGTGCCATTTATTGATACAAAAATATCCTGTAGAAAGAAACATATAAATGGGGAGCTTGTGTTTGGGGCATATAAATACAGGCCAGAGTGAAAGGGAGGGAGGGGTTGCCTGCCCCCGTCCTCAAGCACAGGCAGAGGGTCCCTGTGGGGAGCGGAGGGTGCGGAGGGCAGGTCATCAACTGAGGCCTCGAGCTTCAGTGGCATTGAGCCGACGCCACTGGTTGAGGCTGGCCAGTCGGAGTTTCAGCAGTGTCTCTTCCTGGACCCGGAGCGTGTGGGCCAGGACCCGCAGGGACTCGCTCTGTAGCACTGAGACAGGTAGGAAGAGAGGAGAGGCCTGCACTACCCGGGGCTCCCCGGGCTCCCCCATTCCCCCCATCCCTTCTGCACTGGCCTACTGATTGGCTCTATGTAAATAACTGGATTATCCACAGCATGCTTTCTTAGCTTAATCCAGTTTCCTGTAACCACCCAGCTGGTGGGCAGAGCATTGATGCCCGGGAGGGCGTGGAGTCAGGAGACCTCAGTTCAAACCCATCTGACATTCTTTACTAGCTGGGTGACTTGGGGCAGTTCATGGCTCCCTGAGCCTCTGCTTGTCTGTAAAATGGTGTGGCATAAGGTGAGCCTTATGGTCCTTTCCAGCTCTAATCCTAAGATTGTGTGATCTAAATGTTACAACCTTAGCCTTACCAAAGCAGGAAAAGAATCTCTTCCCTCTTCCCCCCCAAAGAGTTCTTAACTTTGGGATTCTTTGCTATTGCCCCCTCCCCCCCATGCAGGTGACAGAAGTGAGTGTTAACAGTGACCCTCTTTGATTCCCCACACCCCCACCAGTCCCTGGTACCACTCAGGTAGACAGCCAGGATGGCAAGGGCAAGGCAGGTGAGGATGAGCAGCGCCAGCAGTAACAAGAAGGCCCCGCGCCCGTGGGCCGGGTTGCAGCCAGCCTGGACACAAAGCGATGGGGGCAGTATGCCCATCAGCTCTTCCCATTGCTGTGAGGCTGGGTCATCGGGCAGGTAGGGGTGCAGGGGCCCTGGAGGAGATCAGTGTTAGATTGCCCTTTCCTGGGGAGAACTAACTCCCTTTCTCCACCCATACCTTAGAAAGCATGGTCCATACCTCCATTGTGCAGGTCACTGATGGACTCAACAGGGTGCAGGCTGACCTCAGTGAGGTGGCTGGATGGAATGGTCCCAGTGCCTGGGCTCACCATGATGGGCAGGATGGCATCTGGGAGGGAAAAAGGCGTTGGGCTGAGTGGCTGGAGTCGGGGGGAGGAGTCCCCACACCCCCAGTGAAAAGGACTCACAGGACAGTGTTCTTCCCCTCAGCATAGGCCTTGAGTCAGTCTAAAAAGTAATCCCATCAGCGCCCAGTCTCCTCCCTGCCCCCCAGTGCCTAATCGTGGAGCCCAAGAGAATTTCACACATGTTCTTGTAGCCAGTACCCTAGAGCCAGCCCCCTCCCCTCGCCCTGCCCCCAAGCCCACAGGATTACTCTTGGGTTCTCTTCTTTCCTTTCCACCACCCCAGTCCATGCCTACTCTGATCCCCACAGTCAGGCCAAGACATAATCACTGAGTGTCCCATTAACGCAAAACCCTGTATATTGATAGGAGACTCAGAGGAAGGAAGGGAGACAGTCCTTGTCCTGGGGGAGCCCCTGTCTGCTGTGTGAGCAGACATTGCACCTGACCCCAAGGAGTTCCTGGTCTGAATGAGAAACCTGGACCCCTTCCCCTGCCATCTCCCAATCGGAGGAAAGACCAGCCTCTCCTAAGGTGTGCAGGCTTACAGCAGTACCTCACCACTAGAAGAGGGAACAGTCGAGGGGAGCTAATCACAAAGGACTTCTGGAGGTGACTGGGTTCTTGAGTGTGCCATAAAAGGGTCTCAGCATCAACCCTCAGATGATGTCAGCAAACTAATCACTCAGACCCAGACTGCATCTTCGAAGGTCTTAAAGGCCAGAGAAATATCTCGGCTACGAGGACGCAGTCACCCTGAGAGGCGAGGAAGTGAGGAGGTCCCAGGGCACAGATGAAGATATTGGGGTACAGATAGGGGATGCAGCTAGGGGTCCTTGCTGCCCATGGATCTGATCTGCCCTGGAGCAGCTTAACAGATGGCAGAACCCACAGCTGTCTTATCCAGTGACCCTGTCCCAGGCTGTCATGCTTCTGCTCCACTCCTGTAGCCCTAGCTTCCTCCCACTAGGACCGGAACCCATGGCTATTCCAGAGCCATGCAGCTGCCCAAGTTACTGCTTCCACTCCCAAACCCTGCCACCCCCAGCCCTATCTTGGCAGGCAGATGACCTGTCTCCCAACCATTGTCCTCTTGCAGAGAGATCAGGTATAGCAGGGTAGGGGTGGGTAGAAGGGATGCCATGTCCCTGACTCCCTTCTGACCAACCTGATGGGTCAGACAGGGAATAAAGGAGAGAAAGCTGGGTGTCTTGGGGATAAGCTGTCCCTGTCTCCTTAGAAGGGTGGGGCTAGGGGCATCAGTGGTAGATAGGATGCCCCATACCTAGTGGGAAGGCCAAACTCAGCTTGGGCACATAGTGATGAGGATAGGGAGGCTCCTACTCTATGTTTTCTCCCTAAGCTTAGAAGGCTAAAAGAGGTCCCTAGAGCCAAGCAAATGGATGCCAGAAACAGCCTACCTCCTCCTCACAGATCCCAGGGAGGGGAGTCCATTAGAATGCCTCCCAGTTCAGCCTTGGGCATTGGGGAATGCCCTAGCCAGTACCTTCCACTCCTAAGGGTCTGGAGTGTGAGCCTTGCCCTGTCCAGTTCTGCCTGCCCAGGTGCCCACCCACCACTCACCTACCTTACCTTCTCGGGCCTCCCCAGGCATGGCCAGGTGTGGTGGTCAGTGGGGTTGCAACCAGATGGGTAGTGTCCTGGGCAAGGGGGAGGAGTAGAGGCAGTAGCCAGCACCTCTCAGAGCCCTTGTCCAGGCCACTGGCTTCCCAAGGCACGTTTGCCCAGTTCAGAAATAGTCTTGAGCTCAGCCCAGAGGGGGTTATATTTAGAGGAGGCGGGACTAAGTAAGGTAGGGGCAGAGGGGGTGAGAGCAGTCAGAAGTCCCAGGAAAGGCAGTGGGGCACATGCATTCTGACGTGGCAGCATGCAATGGTATCATAGGACTGAGAACTGGAAACGAACCAGGAGATCATCTATTAGGCCCCCTCATCTTACATCTCGGGACACAAGAGGACCAGAGAGGGGGAGGCACTTGTCCAAAATCAGCTAGTTAGGAAGTGGCAGAGCAGAGATCCACACCCAGGCCTGGTTCCAAGTCCATTCCTCTGTTACACCACATCACTTTGGTCTCTGCTGCTGCTGAAGATGGTGAGGGGGGGAGTTGTCTCTGAATGTCCTTGTTGGTTTTTGGTGCAATACCAACTAAGGGCAGCTGATGGTGACCTTCTGCCCCTCACCCAGCCAGAGGGTCTTGGGTTACCCCAGAAATGTTTGACAAGAGGCTGGGCCTCGGGTCTCCCTTCTGACTTGACTCAAAGAGGGTGTCCCAGGACGCACTGTGCCTCATTTCCAAGTGCGCCGTGATCTGGCCAGTTTGGCACTTCGCAGTCATTCACATGTTCTCAGGTGCCCACACATGCGGCTAACACTCATAGAGCACTTTACAAAGCACTTTTATACATATTGTCTCTTTTGGTTCTCACAACCCTGGAAGGTAGGTGCTGTTATTATCCCCATTTTAGACACGAGGAAAACTCTGGTTGAGAGTGGTCAGAACATTGCCCAGAGTCTCACCTAGCTTGCCTCAATATATAGAATCATAGGATTTAGAGCTCAAAGAGATCTTAGAAGTCACCTGGTCTAACCCCCCTGGTTTTTACACACACAGAAACTAAGGTTGTAAGAGATTGTGACTTGCTCAAGTAGCAGAGTCAGGATTTGAATTCGGGGCTTCTGGTACCAGGTTTTCATCACTGGGCTTTCATCACTTTTTCAGTTGATTGCAATGGCCTCCCAACTGGTTTCTCTGTCTCTAGAGCAGATGTTCTAAACACATTTTTATGTCATGGACTCCTTTGGCTGCTGAAGCTCTTCTTAGCTTTTTTTTTTTTTTTTTTTTTTGGTGAGGGCAGTTGGGGTTAAGTGACTTGCCCAGAGTCACACAGCTAGTGAGTGTTATGTGTCTGAGGCCGGATTTGAACTCAGGTCCTCCTGACTCTAAAGCCGGTGCTCTATCCACTGTGCCACCTAGCTGCCCTAGAATGTTTTTAAATGCATAAAATAAAATACATCAAATTACAAAAGAAACCAAAGGTTAGCGAAAGTGGAGATATCATTTTTTTCCCATCCAAGTTTAGAGGCCTCCTGTAATCCATCCACAGACTTCTCGGGCACCCCTTCTCCAGAGGCTCTCCATTCCATTTGGCATATGCTAGAAGAGGCCCTGGAGAGAGTAAGGAGACCAGAAATGCCCTCCCCAGCCTCTGTGCCCACTCCCACACACATCATTACCCTCCCACAGCTGTGCAAGCCAAAGCACTCCCCAGCAGCCAGGCCCAGGGAGCCTGCCCAGCACCCTCTGGGAGTCTATATGGATCATCTGCTACAAGGTGAGTCACAACTGGCTGTGTTTTCTCTAGGCACTGACCAGGGATGTGTGAGAGAGACATAAAACTGTAGCAAGAACAGAGA